GAACAAGATCTTTCTGCTTGGACACCAAAACATTTGATAAAGCATATAGCAAAATCCAGAAAGATTCCAAACTTGAAGGCCTAAATATTTGACATCTAAACTGGAATAAAAAGATAGTTTCTATCAAGCTCACCTATCATAGTACTTAGACGACTACATCAGGCTTAACAAAAATTAGTCAAAAACATGAAACCGATATGAGTTCTTGCGATGGACCATGTAAGCTTATCTATCCTACCTTGTCACTAGATTAAACATACTACATGTTGTTGGCACCTATAGGCAAACATTAACTAACAGATCGGCACTATGAAGTTATTCATGTCGGGAAGAAAATATATCAGGAGCAAACAAAACCACAAATACTTATACAGGAAGGGACGGAGAATATATCACGAAATAGCAATCTGTTTGCAATTTATTAACAATATCAGTACACACACACACATATTTTGTGATAATCAACCCAATTGTGCTCACAGGTCCGGAACTCGGGGAGTACAGGTAGCATAAAACTGAAAGAATCGACCTAACCAATTATCGGTTTTTGTGTCGGTTTTGGTGTTTTCAGTCAGCTCAGGATGAATTTTTTCATAACTTCGGTTCGGTGGCTGGTTTCAAGCTTTAGATTTTTAAAAGTTCACAGGTTTTTGAGAACTTTTCAGTCTTCTCTTTAGCTGCTCAGCATTTCGAAATATCAAATTGTATTCATCCTTCCATCGATCCTCTAAGTTTTCTCTTCCTGAGGTTACAATATTTCCTGATCAGCCACAATTTCTTCTTCCGTTAACAAGTAAACCTTGATTCTCTCAAGCATTAGAAGTTGAAGCTTGCACTTCTAATCTTCCTCCCTATCACTATCTAAAGTTGCCGCCAAGAAGTTCAGTCTTCAGACTTCAGCCCACGAAATTTTAAATCGCCTTTGCTGGTGACTGTTCTGTCTCTCCTCCAGTCCAGGTAAGATACTTATGGTTTGGCATCCGAGTAAGCGACTCTTCTCGAAATTATGTTCTGAAGCAGCTCAGCCTTCAAAATCTGTACTCTCTCCTCTCGACCTATAGATTTCAAAGTCACTGCTTTCTTATCGTTTTTCTACTCATTTTGTTCTATGTTGTTTCGTTGATTGTATTCATTTATTGATTTTATCTAGAGAATGTATGGAATTTTGTTTATTAATTTGTGAGGTGGTGTTTTAAGTGTTATTATGATCCTTCTTCCTTGAATCAATTTGACAACCAGCTTATGCCCTTGAAATAAAACCGTCAATGCTGACCAGCTTATGCCCTTGAAATAAAACTGTCATAAACCAAAGCAGGCCTAAAATCATCCACCACCTAGCGACTAGCATCAAAGTGAACTTACTAAAACCAAAAAAAAAGTTCCTAGCTGATAAGGCCCAAACCGTAAAACGGAACCGATATAAAACAAACCAAACCAAACCAAACTCTACAGACCGAACCGAGCGGAATTAATTTCAGTTCCATTTCAGTTTTCCACTTCTAAAAACCAAAGTGATCGAATGCCCACCCCTATCAGAGAGTATCCCCCCTCCCACTAAAATACCACGGTTTAATCAATGATAAGGTTCGAGCTCGTGACGCATGCCTAACCCACACTTCACGCATTGCGTCCTACCGAATAAACCAAATCCCTAGGTGCATAGCACAAATCATGTGTATAAAGATACCTGATCCTTCATTCTGGCTTTGCTCACGAGATGCCAACTTTCTCCACTTCTTGCTAGGTAACGGTCTTTTCTTCTTCCTGGTACCATCTCCATTCTTCTCTGGTGTAGTCTCTAACGATTGAGGGATTTTAAGGGGTTTCCTTAGTCTTTGGAAAGGGTGGGTTGGTGCCTCGAGTTTTGGTAATGAAGCAGAATCAAGCAACTTGGTGGTTGGACGAGCTTGAGCTGCCTGTGAAATTGACTGGACAGCCTTGTCTATACTGGTGGAAGCCAGGTCATTGTCATTACTGTTTATATCAGCTGCAGTACTTTGTCTGCCAAAAGACTCCGAATCTTGAACCCGACGTTCAAAGCCTTTGAGCTGGTGGAAGGGGGTTAACATTCCTTTCCTTACCAGTGCATCTCTTTCCTACGACAGAGAAAATATGTGGTTAGCTTGAGAGCTCCATATGTTAAGGTACGATAATAGATGCTTACGTTGTACAAAGTATTACTTATTATTGTACAAACACAAATGCAAACATGTAGCTTCCACCTTACAAAATCTTTTCAATTTACAGTTCGTAAAAACCACATACTGTTTCAACAAATCCAGAAGATGCTGCAGTTAACACTGCATCAAAATCATCATCATCATCCAGCAATGTCGTCTTCCGCCGTTTGCTCTTCTTGTTGCTTGATTTCTGAACTTCCTTCACCTTTCTTTTGAATTCAGGTTGATCCTTAACAAGATCTCGTATCAATGCATCACGCGAAGTATCATCAGTAAAATCCAAAAGTTCTTTCTTAAGTTGAGCCTTCGTTTTGAGAAGACTTCTTAGACGATCATCAGCTAAAGCATGTTGAAGGTTTGAATCATCCAGAGGTGCCTGAATAACGCTTTGCTCACTCTCTGTCTGCTTTACCTCGCTTCTACCATCAGTATCTGGGACTTCCTCCTCATGTCTTCTGAAGCGCTCCAAGTGTCCAAAACCACTCTTAATCGCATCTATTTCTACTTCTACTGCTCTCAGTTTATTATACAAATCTAATTTCTTATCCTGTCCTTCTTCATTGCCTTTCTTTCTTTCCACTATCTCTTCTTCAGCACTCCCGGTAGCTTCATTGCTCTCCCCAGGGTGCCTTGTTGCCTGCCAATATATGAAAAAGGTCCATCTCCATTAAGTTACTAGATTGCATAGCATTAGCATATTACGAAACTAAGCAAAACTCCTGCTGCCAAATGATTTACAGAGAAACAGCATTACTCTGCAGAACAAACCTTTTCCAAGATGTCATGTTCAATATCTTCAGGATTTGCAGAGGTCACACCCAAACTGCTGAGTAAAATCTTATCTTCCTCCTCTTCTTCCATTTCTCCTTTTTCTGTCTACAAATGAAAAGGACAAAAAATCATCTTTCAGCAATACAATTCTCATTCCTGATATTCAAGAGTTTAGTGCATTGTGCATACCATATGCTCCCTTATTTGTTAGTTATAAAAATGCTATATAACATGCTTAAGACCACAAAGTTTCAAAATAATGTTATACCATATTTAAGACCACAAGTCTCAAAGGCAGTCCTTTGTTTATTAACCTCTGTGCCAAGTCACGTTACCTCACATAAATTGAAGCAAAGAGGGTAGTATTTTTCCTTTTCTCCAATTGAAAACAAAATAAGATACATATGAAGGCACCAGAAGAATGCATCGTGAATAAAGTATATTTGACCTCGTTATTAGCTAATTGCTGGTGAAAGTCCACTTACCAAATTAACTAGGAAGCAGTCACACCGAGAAACTCCCTTTACAAGCACCTGAGCTCGTTTGATTGATAAACATTATCCACATTAGTGTGACCACAGGATAGCCGGAGACACTGTTTTAATACCATTAATCTAATAATAATACGAAAAATTCAGCTACTCTGAAAATTGAAATCGGAGGGCCTGAATAGTCAAAATACTTCAAGGCTTTGCTCCAATGACTCTGTGCTAGAGAAACCGATTGGAGTCTCGCAATTCAGGATCGAGAGATTTCTCCTTTCGGTTTGAAGAATCGATAAAAGCGACACAAAACAAAACCCTAACTTGGGGACTGGGGAAATGAAAATCGTTGGCTTCGGCCTTCTTTTTTTCTCGTCAAAATCGTTGGCTTTTCAATCCGCGGCGCGCTTTTATGTCAGCGCGTGATGCTTCGATAGGCGACCGCCATTTCGGTTCTTGGATTCGGGGGGATCCATTTTAATTGTCTGCCAAACGGGTCCTTGTTCTCCAAGTTACGTGGCTGCTTGTAAGCCCTCACCTTGGCCAATGGCGTTATTTAATTTCCGGTTTCTATATGGGCAATACCCTACTTTAGCATTCAAAAATGAAAAATTCTATAGCTGTTTAAACAATATTCGATTGAAATTTTAAAATAATTTTTGAAGTTAAAATTAACAAAAAAGAGTATTTAAAATTTTGTTAGTGAAAACTATTATATTAATTAAAATACTATTCGAACTATTTATAATTTTATCTATATTAATAACAAATGCTTATGGCTAACCTATTATTTGTAATACTAAATTTTGCTACTAATAGTTATAAATGCTGAAATGTTAATTAAACCAAATAGCCTAAACTAGTTTTAAAAAAAATTATCTTTCATCTTAAATCTTTTTATTTTTAATATTTAAACCTGAAAATTCTGGTTAAGAGTTGCTAAAGTAGCTAATACGATAATTCACGAGAATGTCTAACATCTTTATGTCATTTTTGTTATTACAAATGTTAGTTGTAATGATATTTATAGCCTATTTGGCAAAACTTCTAAAATCAACTTATTTTGAGAAGTGCTTTAGCTAATTAATTTGAAAAGTATTTTTGAGCAGTAATTAGTATTTGGCCAAACTTTTGAAAACTATTTTTTTTCTCAAAAGTGCTTCTCAAAAAGTGTTTTCGGGAAGAAGCTATTTTTTTCTGTTTCTCCAAAACTGCTTTGGCGAGAAGGAGTTTGTGTTTGGCTAATTAATTTAAAAAGCACTTTTGAGCAGTAATTAATGTTTGGCCAAGCTTTTGAAAACTGCTTTTAAGTGTATTTTTCTCAAAAGTACTTAGGGGAAGAAACTACTTTTTCCTGCTTCTCCAAAACTACTTCTATCACTTTTTTTTTATCTAAAAGTTTGGTCAAACACCTTAATTTTTTGCAAAAATAATTTTGACCAAAAAAAATATTTTTAGCCCAAAAGAAAAGCTTGGTCAAACAGGCTATTAAGCATTAAAAAAAAAGTAAAATATGAACAAAAAGTAGATGGAGTTAATTCGGAGCTCCAAAAGTGTAGTAATCGGATCCGAGTCGGATTGCACTATACCGACCCGGGCTTGTGGTGGGAATGCAAACAGCAAGGTAACCTCCAATTGAACAGTTGCCAGAGTAGCAGTTAGGTGAGCGGAGCCAGACTAAAAATCGGGTATAAAAGCGACTCGCGAAATGGTTATAGTGCTACATTGAAAAGAACAGCAGAGAAAGAAGATGGAGGGAGAATCAAACAGTATTCAAGTCGATGGAATGCAATTCTCTTACGATTTCCAAAGTCCTATCTTTTTCGATTTCAGCCTAAAGATTTCTCCCGGATCTCGATGTCTCCTTGTCGGTGCAAATGGATCCGGTATGTGTTCCGACTACTTTCCACTCAACTGTAATATATATAATAATTGAAAAATATTTAGAAATGTATATTCATACTAACTCCTAAATATTTGGATCAAGTTGTGAGCCTCAATTATTTTTTCTATTATTGGAACAGGGAAGACGACATTGTTGAGGATATTGGCGGGAAAGCATATGGTGGGAGGAAGAGATGTAGTGAAGGTGCTGAATTTTTCGGCATTTCATGACACCCACCTTGTCTGTGATGGTGATCTGGCATACCTAGGAGAGTCATGGAGCAAAAATGTTGGCTCTGCTGTAAGTACTGAATAATGGTTTTGGTTTCCATATCTGCCTTTTTGTGGTTCTGTCTCACAATTTTCTGTGTGATCATGGGTGAATGTAATATTTGGGCATCTGCTAACAGTTTGAACCATGTATATAGTTGAACAAGTTTTTTGAATAAATGTAAATTTGAAGTACTTAGTCATCACCCACTGCTGCTAAGTAGCATTTCATGCAGTAATGTGCACCTACTAACTAAAATTCCGGATCAGCCTGAACTAGAAATGCACTTACAAATTATTCAGAAATGATTGTAGTTAGAGGTTTCTATGCTGTCTCCATCATTATTTACGCTTTCCCTTTTGTTTCTTTTTTAACTTCTTACTAGCAAAAGATCTCAAACTTTGTTAAGTAGAATGCTATTCTGAATGGCTTTATTTTTGCCAAAATTCAGGGGGAGATTCCACTTCAGGGAGATTTTTCAGCAGAACATATGATATTTGGAGGTGCGTAAGATCTTTAGTTTGCAAGTCTCTTTTTTCACTCCTGATGGCATTTTTTCATCAATTACTGGATCTATCAATGTGTTATCTAAAACGCTAGGCTTTCAAATGTTCAAACTTTCTTGTTTCGCTCTGATTTCTGTTGCAGCTTGCTCATTCTACTGACCTAGGAATAAATAACTAATATGAGTGTTATATAGAGGTGCTAATTTGTTGACACTATTTGGATTTTGGACTTTTTGAGATTCACTAATCATGACATGACTATTCCATATATGACTTTATGCAATAATGTTGGCTTGTTGAGTTTGAATAAAATTTCAACTTCTTTTTGTTTTCTTGTCATGGTTTAGTCGAAGGAGTCGATCCAGTTCGGCGAGAGAAGTTGATTGAGCTGCTGGATATTGATCTGCAATGGCGTATGCACAAGGTATCTGATGGTCAGAGACGCAGAGTTCAAATCTGCATGGGTCTCCTTCACCCCTATAAGGTAACCTTTGTTGCATTAGGTTAGCGATTGATTGTATTAGAGTTAAATGTAAAATGCATGTATCCACCAATCTCATAGTAGACAGGTCATATTTACAGTATGCTCACCACATTAATTCTTCTCAAATAGCTCCGGTGCTCATTCTTATTGCCCACGTCCAAGTTTTGTTTACTTAATAATCAAACAATATGCTTCCTGTGAGATGGTATTCATACTTTGATAATTGTCAGCAGGGTCATGTTAACTTCTTTGATGACTGTTTCTAATGGAGAATCACTTTCATCCAGGTTCTTTTGCTGGATGAGGTTACAGTTGACTTAGATGTTGTCGCAAGGATGGATTTGTTGGACTTCTTTAAGGAAGAATGCGAACAGGTATGCATTGTTTTAACGTGGAGAAAACTCAACTAGGTTTAGAACTACCCTGTTGGTGTTTGAATGGATGTTTAATACTCCCATCGGATTCTCCTTTTTTACTTTTTTCTCCGTGTGTGTTGGGTTTTGGNAGAACTACACTGTTGGTTACTGAACGGATGTTTAATCCTCCCATCGGATTCTCCATTTATACTTTTTTCTGTGTGTGTGGGTGGGGATCCTTCATGTCTAAGCATCGAAACTGCATATGGAGTCATCAATGACATCCAGAGGCGGATCCAGGATTTCGAGAATATGGGTGCACCATTGATACTTCAGCAAAACTAAAATAAAAGGATGTGTTGCTGTCAAAAAAAAAGGAAAAGAAAGGCTTAAGAATAAGAAATTAAAGCAGTAATTTTGAAGGGATTCGATACCATGACCTAAATTTAGCAAGAAATAAGGGGTCAAAACCAGTGGACCACTTTGCCTCTTTTGACCATGAGTGCCATCAAATAATAATAATTTATTTTTCGCAAATTATGTACATAATATATATGATATCGTCGGAGGACCACGGGTTCACGTGAACCACTATTTACACCGTGGATCCGCCCCTGATGACATCATAGATTTTCCTTTGGCATCTACCTGAATCAAAACCCTATAGGAAAATTTAAATCACCTTTTAAGTAGTCTTCAACTAAAGTACAGACCTGTGGTGCCTTCCACATTGTGGTGCATGGGATTAATATAGCAAACCAATTAAGATATTGATTGTGCTAAAGATTCATTATAGACAGCCGAGAAGATTAATTTTCTGGCTCCATGTCATGATAACAGAGAGGAGCTACTATTGTCTATGCAACACATATATTTGATGGACTGGAGTCCTGGGCAACAGATCTTGTTTACATCCAAGATGGAGTTCTGAAGAGGTCTGAGAAATTACCCGAGCTTCCCGAGTTGAAGTCTTCCCCCAATTTGCTTTCAGTAGTTGAGAACTGGTTGAGGTCTGAGACCACGATTGAGAAAAAGAAGCCGGTTATCGCCCCACCAAAAGTTCAGAAATCCTCTCCTTTTGGCTCTTCTCCGTTTCAGTCATCTAGACATATGGCATATTTCCGCTGATTTATGCGTTCTGTTTTCAGAGTGGAATTAAACCTTATATGATTTATGAGTTCTGTTTTCACTGATTTATTCGTTCTTCAGTATGAGCAGCTCGGGTAATGCTGTCACTATCACGGGCTACACCCTTTGCTGAATTCAAAAGTAGGAATTATGGCAACTCAGGTTAAATTTACATGTTGAAGCCCTGAGGATGTGCCTTTACTGCAAGTATTATAGTATTCCATTCCTATATGCTTACACTAGTCACAAGCAATTTCATGTAACACCAAGCCACCAAAATATTATTTTTTCATATTTTACTTTGCAAAATCATCAATTCATTTTGCACCTAGCAGGCGTGCAGTCATTGTTGAGATGATAATTTTAGTCATTGTTGAGATGATAATTTCATCGAGTACTTAATGGACAATCAGAATCCTATGATCACGTTTCAGAATTAATCAATCTTGTCAAATCAAAGATAAACAGGTGAATAATTACATTTAGTATCTATGTTTTCGCGGATTTGTTGTGTGTAACTATCAAAAAGTGGGTACAAAGAATTGAAGAAAAGGCAAATGAATGATCTCTGTCACATGGTTGACTGTAAAGCATATCATGTCTTAATATCAAGTTGCCAAATATTCTTGCTTCAAGCATACTATCGCAACTTTGTTTCAATTTCAACTCAAATTTTGTCCAAAAGCATGACATATTAAAACCAACTACGGAGTACTAAAAGTTGGAACTTTAGGGCCAAGATTGCCGATGTAGAGAAAAATTAGGTGGTGAATGCGATTGATTGCTGGCTGATACCAAAATAGCCTGGGCGTACACAGAAAGCAGGCTCTCTCTCCTTTTGTCATTGTCTAAT